TATTTATTTATTTATGTTTGCGTTTTACATTTACAGCATTGGTTGCTAGGGTGAAGACCACCAGCAATCTAGCAACCAATGAGGCACTGACCTGACAGTGGGCAAAACCTGATGGGAAACTCTGACAGACTAGTTCTTCATCAGGTCTGCTTTGCCTTTGATTGACAGTGGATGGCAGTGGGCAATCCATAGCTGATATTCAATTCAATAGTTGGCTATGGCAGCATTTCACAAGTTGGCTATGGCAGCATTTAAATGTTTATCATGACAGGCTCACTTTCTCCCTAGCAAAATGTCACCATCTCATTATGACCTATAGTGTGTGTTATCCAGAGGTAGTGTAGCAGCTTTGAAATTATACTGATCTCTCTTTAGTAAAATGTAAGTAATAGCAGGAAGCTCCCTGGGTCTGGGGGAACCAACCAGTTTGGTATATCCTTTACCTCTAACTTTAAAAAAAAAGTGCACACTTTGACACTGCAATACACTGTTGTGATGAATTTTGGCACATATGCAACCTAAGGCACACTACAACTGCATCACAACACGTATGAAAATGCATAATAAAATATAATAATGGGGGGAGAGGGCCTTTCAATTGAATATTTCCTTTATTATTTAATTACTATTCAAAAAGATTTTCTACCTCCAGAGCAAGTGTGAAACCCTACTGATCTTTAATAGTGGTTTTATATTGGAAGAACCTTCTTATGAATGGAAGTAACTGACACGTTTTGACTGTTTTGACAGTTTTCATAATAGTAGGGGATCACCACAGCACAAGAACCCTTACCAGTCTGTCATAACTAATGGCAGCAAGCAGAATCTCACTTTCCATCTAAATGTAAAACACTTAAACTGGGTCAGATTTGGCTGATTACCCATTTTGATAGGCAGGCACAAGGGTGGTTTAACAGCTTGCCCCCTGATCTAGGTTTTGGTGAAATATTTATTCTTTTAATCTATCTTTTAGGGAAATCATCTGACCAAAGATTTCATCATTTATACATGTACCTTGAAGAAGTTCTTTGAAGCCTGAAAGTCTAAGAATCATAAGGGAGGAATCATAAAGGAGTCTGTTACAAGCAGACTCTAGACTTGGTAATCATTGCTTTTCACAAGCAACGATATTTATTGCAGGGGACCAAAACAGGGTTTGCGTAGCAATGTATATTGCAGGTTTGGTTATGGATTACATAATATTTGTAATAAACTCATTTGTTGTAAGACATAGTGATGTATCCGATCAGCCTTCCTTAGTTTAACCATGATAAATTTTTCAAAGCTAAGAATGGTTACATGGAGTTACTTTACATGAGTATATTTTTTGCACTGATGTTTTATTAAACAAGCCCTGTGGTCCTTTAAAACATGGTTTAAGCATGGAAATTTATTTTATGTTTTTTTTTTATTTCAAAGAATAAAGGAATTATTTGTTCTGTAAATAAACTAAGATGAATAAATGAACATCAGACTCTTGAGTTTTTTTCAGAATCCAAAAATGTTTGTGCTGCTTTAATATGAGTGTTTCAGTGTTTGAAATTTAGGCACAAAAATGTAATGCATGGAAAGTTTCTACCATTTGTTTGACACAAAATATTTTACTTATAATAGTTACTTACTGACTTTTAAACACAATGTAATCTCTAAACCAAACCCTACACTTAAAACTTAACCTAAACCTAATGCAGACTTTGAGCACCATCTGAAATACAGTATATACAGTGTGTTGCTTCTTGGATAACCAGCACTTGCAGTTAAAAATGCACTGCTTTGATTTCCTCATAGTGACCATCAATGTGCAGATATAGAAAGTAAATGAATAAACCTCCCAGAAATACTATTCCTAGGCTGCAGCTAGAGGGAGCGCTAATGATTTGTAGTGTGATTTCAGGAGACTAATACCAATAAGCTTACATTAAATTCTGAATGAGCATGTGGGCAACGTGTTTTGTGCTCTCCTCCTAATATAGATACTGCAGCCTGCATCTTTGTCATACTCTGCACTCAAATTCCGGTTAATCCTGTAACATTTGGGGGCTCATCCAAGATTATTGCAATCACAGTGCCGAAGTTCACAGAGAAGGGAGCTGCTATTACAGTAATGTTACAGACTTCAGGGAGACTTCACAGAACACAAAATGGTTGATCCAACATCACTTTGGACAGGCATACCCTGAATGTAACAAATCAGGGAAAACTGCAACAGAGAAGATTTCAATTAGTTAATTCCCAGATCTGGATACCCTGAAAAATTACATCATGATCAAGGCAGAGCATTTGAAAATCAACTTTTCAAAAGATTGAGACAATTGTCTGCAATAGTAAATTCTAGAACAACACCATATCATACTGAAAGCAACCCTGTTAACAGTTTGAATAGAACATTATTGAAACTGCTTTATACATTGGAAGAGGAAAATAAAGCTCTGTGGAAAGAGAATTTTCCACAAATTGTCCATGCATATGATTGTACTAGACATGAAGTTATCGGCTATGCCCCTTTTGTTGAACGGCAGAACACCCCGTTTACTAGTGGATCTGTCATTTGATATGGATGATGGAAGGAAGAAAGATCACCCCAGCAGTATGCTGAAAAATGGGCTATCAAGATGAGAGAAGATTACAGAATTGCTTCTTAGAAAAGCCAAAAGTCCTCTCAGAAAGGTAAAAGGTACTATGACCAATGCGCAAAAGGAGTGGCACTACAGGCTGGAGACTGTTCGTGTAAGAAATTTGTCAGTAGTAGTTTTGGTGCCACCCACAGACGTGGAAGAAAGCATTCCAGAATTGTTTCAACAGGAGCCAGAATTACAACCAGAGGATGAGGCAGCTGCACCAACACCTGATGAACCAGTGAGAGAAGGAAAACTGTCCTCTGAACAAAGATATTCTCGAGGAACACTTAAACCAAAAGACATAACATACAAGATCCTTGGCAACCATTCTTTTCAAAAACGAGATGTTTCTACAAACAACATGACTGAACAGCACTGTGATCCCCCCCAAAATGTCAAATGGCCAACATATACAAAATTCCCTCATATTCATATTTCTTGCAAGGAACATATGCCGATAGTTATCTAAATGATACAGGCTACAAATAATTCTTATTTAAGCTAAATGTCAGGAGACATTTATTTAAAGAGGTGAAGTATGTAGCAAGTACATGAAAAACCTCCCAATAATGCTATTACTAGGCTGAAGCTAGAGGGAGCTCTAATGATTTGTAGTGTGACTTCAGGAGACTAATACCAACAAGCTCACACTAAACTCAGAATGAGCAAGTGAGCAACATGTGTTTTGTGCTCTCCTCTTGATTTGTCTTTGTTCAATTTTGTGTTTATCATGACATTCACGTTCTCTGTTTAGTATCCTATATGTTGGTAATGGTAATTTTCTAATAAAAAATGTTTGTGCTTTTTCATGTGGCCTGCGCTGCCACTATAAATAAAATAATTATTTTCATTATGTGATCCATTTCTGTTTAACACATTAAACTTAGAATGAGCAAGTTAGCAACATGTGTTGTGTGTTCTTCTATTAATACAGATACTGCAGGCTGCATCTTTATAATAACTTGCACTCAGATTATTGATAATCCTGTAACACAGGGACTGCTGTAGCTTGCAAAGAAACAACAATTGCATGTAAACTTACATTACATTGCATGTTTCTAGGGATTGTATCCTGGCAGGAGATTCTGTAGAACTAAATATCCAGTTCTGATGCTTACAATGGGCATATTTAAAAATGTTGAAAAATGTTTACGGAGAAAAGGATTTTTGAACATCTAATTTTTTAATGATTTTGTTGGGAATTTGTTTTGTGTTTCAAATTATTCTTTGACATTAGCAGTTGAATTTACTTGCATATCTTAATTGTTCCTGCAAAACCTGAGTTTTGCCCCGCCCCCTCCTTCTTCCTCTTGGTCATTGAGTCTCACGTCATATTAAAGGGCCAGAGGGGGAGGGTACAAGTCCTAGCTCAACATTTTACATTCAAGATTTATATTTAGCTGTCTACAGTCATATCTACCAATACAGTGCCTATAAAAACCTTTGAGAAGGTTCATATTTTATGTCAAGAAATACTGTATAACAGTGGATTTTAATTAGGTTACAAATATCAAAACCATGCTCGTATATATTGATGTCCAGCCACAGCTCATCCACCCACTCCTGGTTTACCAGATAACAGTAAAACTATTCCAACAGTTTTCAATTTCAAGTTTAAATTACAATAGCTTTCAATTGCCTTCAGCGTTGCCTATAATGCTACCACCTCCCCCTCACTCCCCCTCTCTGTTGGGGTCCCTCAAGTCTCTGTCCTCGGGCCCCTTCTCTTCTCCATCTACACCTCCTTCCTTGGCCAACTCATACACTCTCACGGCTTCAACTACCACCTCTATGCCGATGACACGCAAATCTATCTCTCGACCCCTCGCCTCACCCCTTCAGTCTCCACCTGAATCACTAGCCTACTGAACGACATATCAGATTGGATGTCGCTCCACTTCCTTAACTAGTAGCCGACCGCAGATAGCCGAATGACGGCTGCACTGCGGCCGGCCAGTTCTGAGTGGACGTCATATGACGTCCTCCCAGAACGCGCTCTCCTGTGCGCCCCAGGGGGCGCGCACACCCGCGATCTCCGTGATCGCTGTGTCCTACGGACACAGCTGATCACGTGATGTGGTAAAAGGCCAATCACAGCTGCCTTTTACCACGTGATCAGCAGTGTCCAATGACACGCTGATCAGAGGGAAATGCAAGTGCCGGTTCTCGGCTGCACTTTCCTCACGCTGTCAGATCGTGAGGAAAGTACTGCCGAGAACCAGCAGTTGTCAGAGCGAGGATCGGCACTGATGATCAGTGCCCTGATGATCGGTGCCCAGCAGTGCCACCCGCAAGTTCCGCCCACCTGTGCCCAGCAGTGCGCCCACTAGCTCCGCCCACCTGTGCCCAGCAGATCACCCACCTGTGCCCAGCAGTGCACCCACCTGTGCCACTCTGCAGTGTCACACACCTGTGCCCAGAAGTGCCACCTACCTGTGCCCAGCAGTGCCACCCACCTGTGCCCACCCACCTGTGCTGCCCACCAGTGCCACCCACCAGTGCAGCCCAGCAGTGCTGCCAGTCAGTGCCACCAGTCAGTGCCCAGCGGTTGTGCCAGTCAGTGCCCAGCAGTGATGCCAGTCAGTGCCGTCTATCAGTACCCATCATCAGTGTCACCTATCAGTGCCGCCTATCAGTGCTGCATATTAGTGCCGCCTATCCGTGACACCTCATTAGTGCTGTCTATCAGTGCCGCCTATCCGTGCCACCTCATTAGTACTGCCTATCATTGCCCTTTAGTGCTGCCTATCAGTGCCCATCAGTGCCGCCTATCAGTGCCCATCAGTGCTGCCTCATCAACGCACATCAGTGAAGGAGAAAAATTACCTGTTTGAAAAATTTTATAATAGAAACAAAGAAACTTTTTTTTTTTTCAAATTTTTTGCACTTTTTTTTATTTATAGCGCAAAAAGTAAAGCACCCAGTGGTGATTAAATACCACCAAAAGAAAGCTCTATTTGTGAGAAAAAAATGATCAAAATTTCATATGGGTACAATGTTGCATGACCGCGCAATTGTCAATCAAAGTGCGGCAGCGCTGAAAGCTGAAAATTGGCCTGGTAAATAAGGGGGTATAAGTGCCCGGTAGGCAAGTGATTAAATTGAACCTCTCCAAAACCGAGCTCCTAGTTTTCCGCCCAGCCCCGCACCCTCCCCACTGACTTCTCCATCACGTCCAACAATGCCACTATCAGGCCCACCCCGCAAGCCAGAGTACTTGGTGTCATTCTAGACTCCAATCTATCCTTCCAGCACCAAGTCCAATCGCTAACAAACTCATGCAGACTCCACCTCCGCAACATCACCAAAATATGCCTATTCCTAACCCCAGAAACTACTACGCAACTCATCCACTCCCTCATCATATCACGACTCGATTACTGCAACTCCCTCCTCACTGGCCTGCCTCACCACAGGCTATCCCCGCTTCAGTCGATCCTGAATACAACGGCCAGACTCATCCACCTCACCAACGGCTCCGTTTCCGCCACCCCCCTTTGCCAATCCCTTCACTGGCTTTCGATTGCCCAACGGATCAAATTCAAAATGCTAACACTGACGTACAAACTCTGCCCCAAACTACATCACCGACCTAATATCCAAATACCACCCAGCACACACTCTCCGCTCCTCACAAGACCTCCTTCTCTCTAGTTCCCTGGTCTCCTCATCCCATGCCCGCCTCCAGGACTTCTCCAGGGCATCACCCATCCTCTGGAACTCCTTACCCCAATCCATCAGACTATCACCTACTCTCCTCTCCTTTAGGCGCACCCTGAAAACCCACCTCTTCAGGAAAGCCTACCCTGCCCTCTGCTAATTGCCGATCTCCTCCACTCTTCCTACCACTCCATCCCCCACAGCTTTTCCTCCCATACCACTATCCCCTCCCTCCTAGATTGTAAGCTCCAAGGAGCAGGGCCCTCGAACCCCTCGTGTATCTCATTGTATTGTTATTGTACTATCTCATGTATTGTCTCCCATTGTAATGCACAGCGCTGAACGAACTGTTGGTGCTATATAAATACTGTATAATAATAATAATTGCAAAGAAATACCCATCACAATCAACACACATAGCACACAATCATCTGTGTCTCATTAGGGAAACTTCCCATTTCTTAAAAGGAAGCAAGAGGATGTCTTTCCAATGTAAGGGTAATCCCCTCTTCTTCAGGCCTTCTATTGGAAGATTAACCTTCAATTCCTATTCTTGTGGTAACTCAAAATTTTGGATTTACCCATGCTTTCATGCCTGATGACATTAGTATTCAGGACAATTAGGGTGCGCCTAGATCTCCCTTTCCTCTGAAGCCTGATCCGCTTTTGGATTGTGCCTCAAAAGCTATTGACAGGCTGCGTGGAAGCAATGCGATCCTTCAACATCTGTTTAACTCCATCTTTGCTGACAAACTTGCAGCAACTGCATACATTGTGACTACTGCATGTAAACACCCCCCGTTCGCTGAATATTGCTGCCTCAACCACATATTTTTGCTGCCCCCCCAAGCACATGTATAAACTTAGCCTTAGCGGACATCCTTTAATTTCACCCACAAATTCTCTATTAGGCTTAGTTTTGTACTCTGACATGGCCATTCCAGGACATCTATGTTGATTTTTAATCCGTTCTTGTGTAGTTTTGGCTTTATGCTTAAGGCATTCTCTTGCTGGAAGACAAATATTCTTTGTAGTCTCAGGAATCTTGCTGAGTTTTCCTTTAGTATTTCTTTATTTTGCTATATTTATTCTGGCCTCACAAGCCTGTCATGTGCTTTATGCAGAGAAACATCCCCACAGTGCAATGCTGCCACCATGACAATTCGTGGTGGAGATGGTGCATTTATAATTATTTGCAGGATTTGTTTTTCATCAGAATGTTTAGTCTGATGTTAGAAAGGTGCAGTTTCTGTCCCACTAGACTAGACTGTAGGCTTCTTCCAGCTAATCTCTCGTGTGCTTTTTGATAAACTGTAGGTAGGAAGTCATAAACGTTTAGTTACCAGATGCCTTTTTTGCTGCTCTTATATAAACAGTTGCTTCAAAAATGATGCCCCCTGTTGTGTTCAGCAGTTAGTATTGCTGCTGAATGTGACACATTCACGTGAATGGGGCCATGCTGCAATGGGAAGCCAAACGCTAGGCTCACGGTTACTGTGCAATATTCCCATTCAAAAATGTAATTCAGCTGTCAAAAAGAAAAAAACCCTGCCATTTATAAGATGGCAATATCTCTTCCTGAATGCCTGTCAGTCACACCTGTACCGATCTGTAAAATGTGATTCATCATAAGTCTCACTTCAGAGGGCAACACAGGTATAATATAAAACTAAGGCTTATAACTTCTGCAGAGTACTCAAAGGTCTCTTGGTGTCCTCTCTCACTTGTTTTCTTTTTTTTTCCATAAAAATTTTATTGAAAATCCAAAAGAACATTACAAAATCATGCGACAGGGATAATTACAATCAGTATAGAATTACACAGCAGAACAGTCGGTATGAGTGAGTCAATGGCAATAAGTCAAAAATCATTGTGTGGTTTAAATAGAAAAGTATAAGAAAAAGCAAACATGAAATTCTAAGGAGGGATTTTGCCCAACTGTGGGAGACCAGCTATACATGGTAATATTTGGGGAAGTAGAACAGTGAACCATATAGCTGGGGTGTGAGAATCACAATGAGATAAAAGAGGGGGAAAGGGTTAGGTGTATTGGCCAGTGAGGATGATTGCTAAGAGTGAAGGCTGAAGTAAATGTTCTGGCGCACAAACAGGACTAGAAACCTGAAGCTTGCCTTGATTTTAATATGCACATTGATATAATAATGTTTTTTAGTGGTCTATAAGTCCATAAAATCCTAGTGGGCATTGGCGGCTTCCATCTGCAGAGTTTGGCCAGCTCTGTATGAAGAGGACAGAACAGAGAGGAGGAGGAGGAGCCAGCTAAGTGCAGTATTAAGTTGAGGTATTTATTAACACAATATAAAAACACTCACAAGATGTGTAGATAAAACAGGTTCATCAAAGGGTAGGTTCTTTGCTCACTCCTAATCTGCAGAGTCCGCCATCGCAATACAGTTTAAAGTTGGACACCTGGCCATAAGCCTGCAATTCCGCCATCAAGTTGGGCAACGAGACAAGGGGGTGCATGATATGGAACAAAATGTCATCCGCGTATGCAGAAAGGGTTCCAAGGAAAGGGAAAACGAGAGACAAAAGGGGACACCCCTGTTTTGTGTGATTCTGGAAATGCTGAGGACAAGGAACCATTAACCTTAACCCGAGCTGTAGGCAAGACATAAAATGCAGAGATCCAACTCAGCATATGAGACCCAACCTCTCTAGTACAGTCGTGAAGAAGTGCCAATCGACCCGATCAAATGCTGTCTCAGCATCAGTAGAAAGCCCTAGGTAGGGAGGGGATTGGTATTGCATACAAACCCAATGAATAAGCTGGTTCTAACTGAATTATCCCTTGCCTCCCAGCCCACTCTGAATCTGGTCTGATCAGGGTGGATTATCAAAGGAAGTAGGTTTTTCAGCCGATTGGCAAGGATCTTAGAAAATATCTTCAAGTCTGTTCAATAATGAAATCGGCCAATAATTTTGAGGTAAGGTATGGTCCTTCCCTTCCTTCGGGAGAACCATAACATGTGTGCCAAGAGGTGTCCCAAGGTATGAGGAATCCAGCCTCTGGAAGCAAGGGAATTGAAGTACCTACACATATGTTTTTGGAGCAGTGAGAAAAACTTCAAGTAGTAGGCCTTAGTATAGCCATCATGGCCGGGGCTTTTTCCGCTGGGAAGGGATTTTCACAGTAAGTAACAATTCCTCGAGGGTTTATAGGTAGGGTTTTCCCCACTCTAATGAGCCTGTTGTATGGGGGGGGGGGGGGAAGGAGGGAAGCCCAGAGGAGGAGAAGTAGGCATGTATGTGGGGAACGTCAGGTCCGCATCAACAGGGGGACGAGCAGTGTCCAGCTCATACAGGTGCAGTGTAATAATCGTGAAAACAATGCAATTTAGGAAGTCTGCAAAACAGCTGTCTAGACAGAGCCTGGAGTTTGTGGACACATACAGAAGCACGATGCTTACGAAAGGCTCTTGCCAGCATCCAATCACTTTTATTGCCATATTCATAATATCTGTGAGTGACTAACTGCAAGCAACGGGGAATGCGTCCGTCAAGAAGCTGTGTAAAAAGCTTGCGGAGTTTCCATGAGATGCTGTAAATGCCTGATTTGTGTGAATTAACTCTGCCTGCTGTAGTGTCATAAGGGATCAGGTGGAAATCTGCTTGCCTCTCCTTGTTTAGCTTAGAACCAAGGGCAATGAGTATGCTATGCACGCCTGCCTTGTGGCCCTCCCAGATGACATCATCACTGACCCCCTCCGTGATGTTTTCAGGGAAATAGTGTGTAAGAGTTTCCGTGACTTTTTCCAGAACTGAAACGTCATCTAAAAGATTTTCATTGAGCCTCTGTGACCAAGTTCTAGCAACCAAACCAGGGAGTAGGAGAGAGACCGGTATCGAAGCCTGGTCAGAGATGGTAATCTGATCTATGGGAGGAATCAGTCAAGGTTTCCAAGGTATGGTGGTCTACAAACAACAGGTCAATTCTAGTATAACTGTTGTGGACTTTTGAATAGCATAACATTTTTCTCAGATGCATGCCTAGCCCTTCAACTATCTACCAGAGAGTGAACCCTGTAAAGATTTTCAGAAGTGTTTAAGGAAAGTAGGAATGTGAGGCGATTGTGAGAAGTGTCTAAAGAGGGGTCCAGGCTGACATTAAAATCCCCACCCAGAATCA